ACCATCACGAGATGAATTAGTGAAGGTAAAGTCAATGAATTGGGCAACTCCATTTAGGTATGCCTAAGACAACCTACATTATCCAATAATAATTTTAAGTATTGGTTAAGAAATTCATTTTGGACAAGGGGCAAAAGAATAGAAAGAGAATATATTGATTGAGATACCTTGGTTAATTAATTCAACTTTTATCCATTACTAGTAATTAAGCACATATGCTGCATGTGAGAAATTTTTCTTCATATTAATTACTTGAATATTAGATATATCATAGTTAAGATAGAAATTGAAAATTAAAAAAGTATCAATATGATTAAAAATAAACTTAAATATTTATTATTCAATTATGACATCATGCATTTTTTTGAAAAAGTCGGACCATTGACCCACCATCTAGATAAGAAATAGCATTGCTTTTGGATTAGTTTTAAATTAGGGAAAATTATAATTGGAGCCAGTTGTACATTTAAAATTTGGTTACAAGTTGGTCCATAAACCAACAAAATTCTAACAAACGGCTCTATATTTCAAGTAATAAAAACCCTCACCATGTCACCAAAGGGTTATGTGACTATTGCCAACATGGACTCTTAATCCATATTGGACACAATAAAAAGCTTTATTGAAATTGCCCTTTAATGTTGGGTTATTGAAAAAAAAAAAGGTTTTTAGTTTCTCTCTCTCTCTCTCAATCTCCCTTACACTCTTTTACTCACAGTCATCTTTATCTTCTCAACGACTATGTGATTTGAAAATAAATAAAAATGGTTTTTGGTTTCTGCATTTACATTCTCTATATAAATTTCTCTCATTCTCTCTCTCTTTACTTATCGTTCTCCCTCAATCTTTCTCATTCTCTTTCTCAGTTGATCTCTTCTCCCTTAATTTTTATCATTCTCCCTCATTTTTTCTCCCACTCCCTCTCTCATTTTTTTTATTTTTTTATTTTCTTACACATTTATATGGTATTAATTAGATCATATAAAAGAACATGAGACCAACTTGTTATGATTCAAAAATTATTATACCAATTTGATAAAATTTACAAGAAACTCTTGACTATGAAATTTACACCAATTGGAGAATGATAGAGATTGAGGGAGAAGGGGATTTTGACCGAGAGGGAGAGTGAGGGAGAAGAATGAGAAAGATTAAGGGAGGACAATAGAGAAGGAGATTTTGATTTGGCTATAGACCAAAGTAAAGAGAGTGGGAGAGACAGAGGGAGCGGGAGATCGAGAGATGACTGTGAGAGTGAAAGAGAAGGGAGGGAGATCGAGAAATAGAGGAAGTGAGAGAGAAACTTAAAACCTATTTTCGATATAGGTTATCTGTTGTGTCCAACATGGAATAAGAGTCCCATATTGGCAACAACCACATAAGCCTATGATGAAATGGCGGGGGTTTTTATAATTTGAAATGTAGAGCTAGTTTTCAGAGCTTGGTTGGTTTTTGGACTAACCTGCAACCTAATTTTAAGTGTACAACCGACTTTGACTATAATTTTCCCTTTAAATTATATATTTCATTTATATTATATAAAATATTTTTTACTTATCACACTTAATTTTTGTTTCTCTATGGTATCATTTTACTCAAACCACTAACCCACCATCTAAAAATAAAAATTGTTTGATTTCTAGGTTGACATTAAATTTTGTATTACATTTTCATCATTGATAAAATTATATTATGTATAAAACTTATTTTTGTTCGATATAATGAATGTACAATATTAGAGATGTACCCAATATTTAAATATATAACATTAGATATTTAGATATGTTCCCAAAATTTTCTCTTATCTTTTTTTATTTTTGTGGTTCTTTGTATTTATATTATTAAAAATTTTATTATTTGACTATGACATCATTTAATTTTTAGGTAGATTTTGAAATTGGCTTTCCATTTTCATCATTAATAAAAATACTCCTTACATTTCATAGTTATTTATTTTAATTTTTTATTATTTAATTATGACATTATTTATTAATCCATTTGACACCAAATGGTCAAATTGCTTGCCCACCACCGTGAGGGAAGAAAATATTTTGTTTTCAAATTATTTTTCAAAATATTTATTTTTATACTATTAAAATTAATATTGTTGATTTAATTACAAGAATTTAATGATGGGAAAAAATATATTTTGAATATAGGATTTAATGAGAGAGAATAGGAAAAATATTATTTTCAATTGGTTTTAAATTTTACATTCCATTTTCATTATTAATAGAAAACATTTCTTATTTAACATATTTATTATTGTTTAATATGTCTGTTAAAAATGTTCCCAATTTTTTTAATTTTATCTATTTTTAATTTCTATTAATTATTCAATCATGGCAGCATGGTTTAATCCATTTGACCCAAAATGATTTAATTAATTTCTTACCACCACTTAGATGAAAACACTATTTTTGCTAAGTAGATTTTAAATGTATAAGCTTTTATGTTATTGGAATTATTAATTTATTAAGTATGGATTTAATTAATAGAACTTAATGATGAGAAGAAATACAAATAACTTAAATATATGATTCAATAAACATGAATGCAAGTTAATAACTTAAATGTTGGATTTAATGAGAGAGGATTGAATGCATTAAATATCTTTAAGTTACCTCTTTTCAACTCATTTAATATCAATAATCAATTACCCTATTTGCCCTCATTTTTTATCATTAAATTTAAATATAGAAGGGTAAATGTTGTCCTTAGAAAATTTCAAAAATATTCTTGAGGTCATTCGTACTTTTTAAAGTGGTATAGATTGGTAACCTTGAGTACACCAATATGTAAGCATTTACACTTCCACCATTCCTTCTGTAAGAAGATAGAATTTTCCTAATAACAAAGGAAGTCTTAAGGCATCAATGCCATTCTCTTTCTCTATTTCATAGGTATCCAAAGAAATACATATTAAGAGGCTTTAAGGAAGAGTATGAATTAGCAAGAAATCCAAGAAACTAAAGTTGTTCAAGGAATTGGATGGCAATCTTTCCATGAATGCTTTTAATCTCTAGTCATTACAAGACAATTTTTCCATGATGAGCCAAAGTGATTTAAAGAATATTACTTAGATGAAATGAGAATTACTTTAAAAAATAATCTAAATTAAAAAAAAGAGAGAGAGAGAGAGAGAGAGGTTGTACCAATAAAGCAACACTAGGAACATAAATATTTTCTTATAAATAGGGCAAAGATCAATTCATCAACTGATATGTGTTTGACTTCTTGGTTGAAAAGTTAACTAGAAAGGAAGGGATTAATCTAGATTATTGATTCATTTCTGTGCTCAATTACTTCTCCAAGGTTAACCAATGAATTGAAGAGTGCAAGTGGCATAAGTTTTCATTTTGTATTGGGCACAAGTGCATCATACATCATGTGTCACACATCTATAAGGTTTTCTGTTATGAAAGACCCAACTGAACTTACACAATGTTCCACTTGGTTGTTGTATATTGTATTTCATATCCAACACAAATAAAAAAATGAAAAAAAAAAAAAACCTCTAGCATTCCTCCATAAAGTTTGGCAGGATTTTCCTTATACTAAATATAATGTTTTTTTTTTTTTTTGAATGCAATTGTGGAAAAGTTTGAAGTTTGAGGATTTTGTGTATTAGGCACTATAGATCAGATTCTTTGGAAAATGGTCCCTTTCCAAGTGTACATCAAAAGAATGTAAGACATATTTCTGAAGATAAGCTTAAGATTTTGAACTAATGGAAGGACCAAGACAATGGAACTTCTTTGCCATGGGTAATCCTAACTAATTTAAGGATGTAAAACTGACTGCTATGCTTTTGATAACAAGGATGCCATACTTCACTATGGTCCCTGCCTTCTGTTTTCTTTAGAGCATAGAGGAGGTGGAGAGCTCTAAGTGGATTTTACGTATGGGGTTTGCTCCATTTTCATATTCTGCTATGAACTTGTTCTTAGCTAAAAAACTATGTATACCTTAGCTGAAAAATCAATATATGCATATATTTTACATGGATAAACTGATATCTCTTTGATAACTTTTTGTTTCCAATTTTTCAGACAAGCACTCAGGATGTGTTTGCCCGTGCAAGTTTCTAGTGATAGTCTAATTTGATGAACTGCTGTTTCTATGAGTTCCCATTCTTTTGCTGCCATATAGTGTGAATGGCAGGAATATGCTTCATGGTCCGTGGAAAGAAGCTAATGCACCAGTTGTAACCTTGCATGTTGATGATGACAATGTTAATGGAGAGGCCATTGCAAATGGCCTTGGCATATCTTTATGGACACCATCCAAAGCTTAATGACAATAACGCATTCCATGTTCTTGCTGCTGCATCCTTTCTTGATCTTCAGATAATCCATTTAATAGAATAATGGCAACAAGATTCCTCTCTAATACACCTAAGAAAGTCAGAAGCATAGGTTTTTTGGGTTCTTGAAGGATCTTTCTGTTTTGTACATTTCTTTTGTGCACCTCCAGCTGTCTCTGCATGCACTAGTGCATGTGTTATTGCTTGGAGTTTTCTTCATTGTATCTTTAAGATCTTTCCATGCAGGATTTATGTGCTATCTGCACAGACTTCACCATATCTGGGCTTTGGACTTAAAGCTTCTTGGCATATCAGGTTAGGTCCATCCCTGATTTGTCTTTGTGATCCACTATTTGTAAAAACTACATATTCCTATCTTTTAGGTTTGACTACTTCTATTTATGATATAGATATTTGGAGAGAGCCAAGATTATGGTATACACGGAGAATGGGCTAGAAATGCTTGTTGGGGCTACCATTGTCAAAGTGGTGCTGTGGAGTTGAAGGAGGTAACTCACCTCCCTCAGACCTCTCTTTCTTGGTCTTCCTCACTTGAGCCATACCCGTTTGTCCTTTGCCCCATATATAACAGCCTAAGATCAAGTAATGAAGTGAAAGGAATTGTTCCAACTCCAGAACCCTCTCTTATCATAAGTTTCAGGCCTCCATAGAGAAAAATAAATACATTCCTTCATTGACAAAACCTCCATTGTTGATAGCCATTGGAAGCCCAGACAATGTTATTTCATCTGATTTTGGACCACTCTCATAGCTCTTCAAATAGTTATTCTAATTCTTCAAACTCACATCCATTTTGAGCAAAACCAATGAATGTTACTCCATGGTACCAAGTATCTGGTAACTGGTATCCCATTTTAGCAAAGATTTTCATTGCAGGGTGCACTAACCCAGATTTATTGTACATGTCCATAAGCAAGCAACTGATGATTTGCATCAGACTTGGGCCTGTTTTAATAACCAAGGAGTGTATTTGAATGTCCTGCTCTCCACGCAGAAGACATGATGCAGAAATACTTGCCAGGTCCACAGAATCAGTAGAAGCTCACTTTGAACTAGAGCCTAGAATACTGCAAGATATGTCCTAATGTCAAACATCTATGTCACTGTGAATAGATGAGATAGTGCCCATCAACTAAGGCAGCTCATGAAGGAAACGGGTTTGGAAAAAGAAGCAACGCAGTTGTGGTTGAGGTAGATGGAATTGTAGCAGAAGACAAGTGCCACCAACAGACAAGAATTATATGAAGTTATCACTATCACCACTGACCATATATGCATCAATCAAACCTTTCTATTCAATAATCAATCCAACTGTAACCAGGATTTTTTCTGATTTTCCTATCCTTCATAGTCTTTCTAATTTGTGCATAACTCTCCCAGTCCCCACAAGTGGCATATAAGCCAGATAACTGTACATAAGCTGTTGAACTCTCAGGATCAAGCTTGATAATATGTTCTGCTACCTTCCTCCCAAGAGTCTCGTTTCCATGAGCCATACAGCCCCTCAAAACTGAGGACCACATGCTTGCATCTGCCTCAAATGGCATGCAGTTGATTAGATTCATTGCCTCTACAAGAAAACCAACACGAGCAAACAGATCAATCATGCATGAGTAATGTTCAATCTCTGGCTCAATATGATAATCTTCTTTCATTGTATAGAACCATCTCTCTCCTTCATTGACTAATCCACAATGGTTGCAGGCAGACAATACACCAGTAAAGGTGACATTGTTTGGATCAACACCCACATGTCTCATCTCATCGAACAACTTCAATGCTTCAAGTCCATAACCATTTGTAGCATAACCAACCAACATTGAGTTCCATGGGACTTCATCAGATTTCACCATCTGATCAAACAATTTCCGTCCATCTTTAATGTTACCACACTTGCAATAGAGATCAATGAGGGAGGTAGAGATGATCTGATTGGACTCAAGGCCAGTGACAATAACTCGAGCAAAGATTTGCTCGCCAAATCCTAGAGAAGAGATGCTAGCACAAGCACTAATTACACTAGCAAGGCTAACCTCATCCATTCTCAAATCCAGCTCATGCATCTTGCAGAAAAGATGCAATGCTTCTAGAGGAAAACCATTCTGACTATAACCCACAATCATTGAGTTCCATGAGATAAGGCTCCTACTTGGCATTGTATCAAAGATCAGTCTAGCATCTTCAATTCTTCCACAGTTGGAGTACACGGTGATCATAGAATTAAGTGAAACTGTGTCATAATCTCTCAGCTCAGAAAAAAATTTGCAGGCATCATTGGGTCTTCCACACTTGGAGTACATGTCAACAAGGACACTAGAAACAATAATGTCATTAACAACCCCAGCTTTGAAAGCATAAGAATGCATTTGTTTGCCAGTTTTAATAAAAGCCTTGTTAGAACAGGCACTCAAAACACTAACAATAGTAGAGGTGTCTCCTTGGATTCTTTGTTCTTGCATCCTGTTGAAGAGCTCCAGTGCTTCCCCTACTTCATTATTGGTAACATATCCAGCAATCATGGAGTTCCATAGAACAACACATGGGCTAATTCTTCTATCAAAAATTCTTCTTGCGTCAATCAACCGGCCACAGTTGGCATATCCGGAAATCAATGCCGAGAGGGAATAATCATCTGGTTCCTGCATTGAATTTAAAACGTGATTTGCACTGTCCAAATCTCCACACTTGCAGTACATGTTAACAAGCGAGCTTCCGAGCACCGTATCAAAATCCACTCCACTAACGATGACACAGGTATGAATTTGCTTGCCGCAATCTAGAGCTGCCAAATTGGCACAGGCACCGATGACTGTAGCCAGTATGAAGGTATCACTCCGTGATGGTTCAGCAGGATCCGAACTCAAATCCTTGAACAACGCCAGAGCTTCTTCGGGGAAGCCAAAGCGCACGTACCCATGAATTATACAATTCCAGGCAAGCCCATTTTTCACCGGCATTTCATCAAACAATTGTCTAGCAACCTGAAGATCCCCTGATTTGGAGAAACTCGAGATAACTGTATTCCATGAAAATTCGTTCTTATGCGGCATGGAATTGAAAAGCTCAAGTGAGTTTTTCTTGTTTCCAGATTTCAAGTAGGCGTCAATCATGGTATTCCACGAGAAAGAATTTCTTTGAGGCATCTCGTCGAATAAACACCGCGCCGCATTCGGGGTGCCACACCTCGTATACATTTGTAGTAGGCAATTTCCAATGAAAAGAGTAGTATCAAGTAGACCCCTTTTGAGCAGTAGGACGTGGAGCTGTTGGCCTTGCTGGATCGATCGGAGGGTGCTGCAGGATTGCAACAGGCGCATGCAGGAATGGAGATCGGGGTCCATGATAGAGAACCATCTACCCTTCTACAGACTTTGGACGATTTTCCCTGAAATTAAGTAACGAGAAACGCCAGCCAACAGGTAACCAAGTTGAAATTTGAAGGTCTAACATGGATAGATGCGTCACCCAGAAACTTGACTGAGTGACTCAGGGAGCTTTGTCCAGTCATTGCACCAAACAAGTTCTAGACCTAAGCAATGATAAAAATGGAAAACATAGGGGAGGTAGAGGAAACATTTAACACAGCATCACTTATTCAGCGGAACCTTCCTAGGATCACAAATAAACAAGTCCAATCTCTCCTACTCCCCCCAACAGCAGAAGAGATCCTTTCTGTGGTGAAACAATTAAGCCTACATAAAACTTGGGGCCCTAATGACTTTACAACACATTTTTACCAGCAGCATTGGGACATAGTGGATGCATCCAGCTTTAGGCCCATCAATTTATGCAAGGAGAGTTATAAAATCATCATGAGTCTGAGGACAAGAGAAACGATGCAAGATGCCACATTGATTCAGAAAAAGATTTAAATTTGATAAATTCTCCTCCTCCATTTGTTTGAATGGATTTAATCTTAGTATTGAAATAATTTTTAACTTGTAATTTAAATTTGACAAAGGTGTCAATAGCATATGATTTCTTAACAAGTGAAAAAATCCATTGATATCTAGAATAAGTATCAACAAAGAAAAGATAGTAGTTAAATCCATGGACTGAAGTTATAGGCGATGCTCCCCAAACATCACAAAACAGTAAATCAAAAGGAGCATTGTATAAGGATTCACTAACTAAAAAAGGTAACTTATGGCTTTTGCCAAGACGACACACATGACAAAAATCCATTCTTTTATTTGTAGATACCGACAACAAGCTGGAGTTGAGAACATGCCTCACAATGCAAGGTGCATAGTGACCCAACCACTCATGCCATTTATTCATCGAAGTTCTGACACCTAGGAATGTTGAGAGAGAAGAATTTGGATAGATACTTTACTTGCTCCTACTTGTAACTCATAGAGACCATCCTTGCTACACCCCTCCAGCATGACTTTCCTTTTCTGTTGATCCTTCACAAAGAATTTTTCTAAGTCAAACTCAAAATAACAACTGTTATCTTTAGCAAATTTAGATATTGACAACAAGTTTTTGCAAATCTTAGGTACATAAAGAATATTTTTCACAACAAAGGAATGTGATGGTGAAGAAATAATAGCAGATCTAGTGTGTTTAATCGACAAACCTTCTCCATTTCTAATAGTGATTTGTTCTGGTCCAGAGTATTAAAATTGTAAGTGCAAGTTGGAAAGATCAGCTGTCATATGATGACTGGCACCTGGATCCGGGTACCAACTGTTGTCAATCACTGGCTCTGTAGTATATGCAGTAAGAGAGCTCTTTTCTAGATGAAAATCTTTGTCAAACCTAGCTCTACACTTGTAGGTTGTATGGTTTAGCTTGTGACATATTTGGCATTTGACTCCTTGAAAGGGATTCGATTTCTTACCTTTTCCATGGGAAGTCTTTTGTTTGCTTCTGTAGTCATTAGTCCTAATAGTCTGATAATGTTTATGAACAACCATATTAGCTTGTGGTTGAAAAGATTCAAATAGAGTCCGAGTGTGTTCCAACCAAAGTTCGTGGTTAATGAGTAGAGCTTGAATATCATCAAAGGTGTGCTAACCAACATGCAACAACAATGGAGTGACCAAAGACTCATAATCTGGGCCAAGCCCACACAGGACAAGTTGTATTAATTCAGAGTCTGAAACTGACTCTCCAATAGCGGCTAGATTATCAGATACCAGCCTAGCTTTTTTGTAGATAATCCACCATGGATAAATTTGTTTCTTCAGATGAGACAACTCAAACTTGAGTTGCATAATACGTGCCTGTAACTTTGAAGCAAACAAGCAAGCAAGGGCATCCCATATGCTCTTTGAAGTAGTATACCCTATTACCTAGGCTAAAACTCCTTTAGTAAGAGAGGAGAGGATCCAACTCAAAAGGATTTTTCTCATGTTGTTCCTACAACATGAAATCAGGATAGTCAACACTTTGACCATTTGAGATTGCCACAACAGATAGTTAGTGCGATCTAACTTAACAGAAACCAAATGACTTACTATAGATGGGAGTTTCAGATTCACAATAGTGCTAGTTGACCGGGTTGCAGTGGGGAATGTTGAAGTCGAGCTTGACATGGTGAAACCTGGCTTCGATACCATGAAACGGAAACTGAATTTTTGTGAATGAACTCAATAATAATTTGTGAGATGAGTGTATATATATAAGTTGTAGTATGTACAGATTACAGCTACAGATAAAATTAACAACTGTATAGGATAAGCTTTACAGAAGATAAAGATAGCTTTGGTTATATATTCAACTGTGATTTACTTGATTGACTTGTAATCAGACTCTTCCTATCCTTATCACTTTGCACCATTGGAAAAGGGTTCATTCTGTTTTACCTCATCTAAGAAGCAAGGAATAAAAAGCTCCATGAACAAATCCAACCCTCACCCATGGACATCATCGCCAAGTGGAGAACATACTTCCCCGCCAGTGCCTATCAGCCAATTTGCTTCCTTACAAATTGATGGATCTTACGACCCTTTCGTAGTCAATTCATGATGCTCTTTCATTCTCCAATGAGCACAAGGTCAGAAAACTATCATATCTATGAAGGGAAGCCTTTCTGGGCAACTGGTATCATTTTTGCAAAACCAAATCACCCCTACAAAATGGATAGAACGCCTACATTAGTCAAAGATTAATGTGCTGTTAAAGAAACTCATCAAAGACTAATGGATAGAACGCCTCGCCTCTCCTAGATGGTCTAGTCCACACCGTTCCAAAATGCCTTAATTTGTAGCAGGTCGAGGTCTCTGTCAAGGCTGTCCATTATCTCCTTCTCAATTTGTTCTATGCATTGGCACACTGTCAAGGCTTTTTGAAGCAAATCTGGAGACTCGACAAATATTAGTTGGTTTTCGTTTTGGATGAGGTACAATCAAGCTAAACCATCTTTTAATTGTTGATGATGACATCCTTATTTTCGGAAGAAGTTCTAGGAGAGAGCTCTATGCTATTAGAGAATAGAGATACTTTCAATGAATTTTGCTTGTGGTTTGGACAAAGCGTCAATTTTAGCAAATCATCTATTTGGTTTAGCAAGAAACACTCATAGAAGAAAGAGATTTATTTAAGGTTTGGCTCAAATGCTTGGGGTGCAATAAATGCAGATAAATGAACCTAACTCAAGTTTCCCTCTAGACCCTTGTAGGCCGGCCGGAAAAGGAAGATTTTCAATTCATCTGGGTAAGTTACAATGTAGACTCCTTCTGATGCAAATGGCATTTTATCCCTCCATATCCCATACACTGGACGGGCCAATGATACTACTATTTGGACTAACACAAAATCAGGGGTCTTTAACATGTTCTTCAACATACAAATTACTCATGCTGGATGTGGGTACCTCATCTCTCATACTTGTTGCTTCTGATGGCTTGTTGTGGAGAGGTGAGGAAGAAACACTAGATCGATCACCGACTCTTGAAGTATCCTGTCATATATGAAGCCGATCTGGTTTGGAGCATCTACATCACTTAATATTGATTAGCATCCCACATGGTTTCTTAACACATGGATGGAAATAGAACCATGATTTTCAAATCATAGTTGACCCGAATGGTCGGATCGTTCGGCCAATGCACAAATTGTTGAACTTATAGGCCAAATTCCAAATTCAGGTCCAAGCCTAATTGATGCTCTAGGCCCAATTCGAGAACAGCATTCCCGATGGAAACGTCTAGTAGCTAGATCTCTTGAAATAAACATTCACGGCTTATCTTCACTTGGTAAGGCTAGAGCTAGTATTGTCGTTAGATTTTCATTGGGTAAATTTGTGTATGACTGGGCTGTTAGTAGGAGTGGCAATTGGGTGGGTTGGGTCTGGGTTGAGCTTCAACCAAACCCATTTAACTTGTCAACCTATTAATGACTAATTTAGAGAAAATCAAATGGATTGGATTTAACCCAACCTGATTGGCCCAACCCAATAACTTTTTAGTTCATGAAAACACTAAAAAATTGTAGAAATAGAAAATAAAAATGAAAAAAAATAGGAATTATTGGGAAAATATAATTAAAATTTATATAAAATATATATAATAAAATAGAAATTATAGAAAAATATAGGAATTATGAAAAACATAGAAAATGCAAAAGAAAAAACTAACGGAAATTACAGATACAAAAAAAAGGTATGAAAAATATAGAAAAAAGTATAGAAAAAATAAGAAAAGATAATTGTGCTTGAAAGTGTTTCCATTGAGAATACAAAAACCTTGCAAAGGAAAGTAGAGCATAAACAACTCTTTGGAAAATCAGGTTGTACTCACTAAAGAAGTTGTCATTAGGTAAAAAGTAAAAATTAAAAAAAAAATCAATAATACCAAAAACAAGGCAGATTGCATCTCCAGGCGCCAAAAGAATTTCTGAATTGGAAAATGCATCACCAACCCTGAGCCAATCCTAAGCAAGATAGTATGCACAATCTTCTCGGTAATTACTAAGAAGTAAAATTAAAATCCTAATTAAGTTGAAAGTGATTCTCTCCTTGGTTCAACTTCTGTTGACTAGAAACAATCTGTCGTGGTGCATCTCTCCTATTGTGGATGATTGTAGAAGTTTGATGTCTTTCATTGTTGACTGTGCACTCTCATTCACTCATAGAGAATCTAATCAAGTTGCGCACAAAATTGCGAAGTTTGCTTGCTCTGTACAAGGCATCTATACTTGGTTTTTTGACCATTTTATTTTTGTGTGATCTTCTTGTAAAAGATGTTTTGTAATGAAATGACTTAGATGCTTTGTTCTCAAAACAAGAAAAAAAATTAATACAGTTTTAAAACCATGTTGTGTGTATATAATACATATATGTATAAATAGATATTTTATCAATAAAATAATATATTATTTTATTTATATATATATATATATATATATATATATATATATATATATATATGTAGTGTATGTATATATATTATTTTATGTTTATGGATTTTATTTCAGCTGTCAAAATTTTGTATATAAAATATGCTAAAAACTGAGCTTAAAAAGGATAGAGGGGTAAGGCACTTCTGATACATAGATTTCAAAAAATTACCCCAAATCAATATAAAATTCACACCAACTTGATCAAATAGGGCGTGCCCTTTATCAATTATCACACATACTAAGCCCGGTGGCTTTTGCCCATCATCACCCTTTACAGGTACCCAATAAGATATAATAAGAGAAGAGAAGCAACATTAATGTTGCTATCAGACAAACAAACCGGCAACCAAAACCGTTTTCAGCATGCCGAATTCTTCTTTGAAATGTTAACTTGACCAAAGATATATGTTTCACACTTTCACTAGATTTTCTAGGTTATGATATTTACTATTTTAAACGTATTTTAGTGTAAAATAATTTTATATGATGATTAGAGCCATTTATTAGTTTCTCATGTTTCAATGCCTTGTAATCCAACCAACTTGGGGTAGGTTATTCTACAAGGGCTGAATTGTTGGATGATGTA